TCCACGAGAACACACTTAACTTGAATTTTATTTAACAAAATAGAAATTACCAGGGCGTCATTGTGCGGCTGGGAAATGCCTTTCGCTTCCTCGTCATTGAACGATAGGATGCCCTCGGGCACATAGCTCCGAGTTCGTTTTTCTTTGGTAATTGACACCTTGGTACGTTTGAATACAGGCCCTTGTGGAATATCGACACCGCCAATGATCATATGAATTACATGTTGCGGTTCTTCCTGCTCTTTCTTTTTGTTGGCGTCTCTTTCCCTGAAGTGGTTCTTAGCTCGATCACTGAGAAATTCTTGAAGATGACCCTCGTTGAACAATCGATCTATCTCCTCCCTCAGCTGCCTATAGTCTTCGGTCCTATGGCCATGTGTGCCATAATATTTACACATCAAGTTTGGATTTCTTTGAGAAAGATCGGTTTGGATAGGCCTGGGCCACCTTGTGTCTTTGATCCTTCCAATAGCTGATACGATCCCCGATGCATCAATACTAAAATTATACTCCGATAATCGAGGTGCTCCCGCGGGATCGGTGTGTTTATCAAAACCATTCTTACTCATAAGTCCCTGAGAGCTTTGACCTCGATCATTTCTTCGATCATTCCAAGGAGCGTTACGCCCCGAACCGTTGTTTCTCCGTTCGACATATGGCTGATACCGCTCCCTGTTTGATCTTGGTTCCCTGTCCCTATCCCTCAGGGCTTTAGCTGCCAATCTATTAGGATGAACTGAACCCGAGGGGGCTCCCGACTGGTCGTCCTCGACCCTGATCTTTGATTGGTAATGATTATATACGTCTGACCAAGTCACAATTGGGCACTCGATCAGATTTAGCTTCAACTGTCGTGACGCGACCGAACTCCGCTCGTTCAACCCCTGCATAAAAGCTTGCACTTCCCAGTCATCCGAAACTGGTGGTAATTTCATTCGCTCCATTTGAAATCGGGATACGAACTCCCTTAACATCTCATCATTTCTCTATCTTATCTTAAAAACGTTCGATTTCCTCGTCGCAAACTTTATAGCCCCGGCGTGTTCCTTCACAAAGGTGGCTATATAATTTGGTGGTAAGTTGTGATACCAAATCATTGCTCCTTTTGACGAGGTCTCCCCAAATTTTTTCAACAAAACCGACTCGTTCTCATCATCATTTAGGTCGTTTCCTTTAATCCCGCAAGTATACGAGGTAATGTGTTCATTAGGGTAACTTGTCCCATTGTACTTAGGTATAACGGGCATGCGGAACTTTTTAGGAATAGGCTTCGGTGCCGCACTCGGAGGGAATGGCTTTTGTATGAATTTCTTGGCATCCAAACCTTTCAAGACCGGGGGTGCTTTTGGTATTTGATCGACACGAGAGTTGTACGTCTCCACCTTTTTGTCATTATCCTCAATATTTTTCTCCCCCGACTCGATTCTTTTGGTGAGTTCTTAGAGCAATCACATAATCATGGGGTCAGTCCCCGAGCCATTACCGTTTGATCTTTCAGACACCGGCTCAGTACGGCGAGTGATTTCCGGCTCGACCACACTTGGAGTTTTATGCTGACTTTGAAGCTGAGCGATGACAACCTGTTGAGCTTGTAATATTTTGAATATTACTTGAAGGCTAACTCCTCCATCTCCTACACCCGGTGTTCCTTGGCCACCAGATCGGGCTTCCCTACGTACACTTCCTTCGGGGTCAGCGCCTAAATCTGCATTCAGAGCAATGTGTGAGCTAACATCAACTGGTTCCACATTTGGCACATCCCCAGGGTTAATTGGTGGTACACCGGCCCCCGGAGTGATCACATTGTTGTTTTCACCGTGAAATCCAAGACCGTCATCGCTGTGTACGGGTGCGTTTTGTGAGTTTGACATGTTTTAACCTAAGAACAAAAATTCTTGACAAGAACAAGTGTGAAAATAACGTGTGTTATCAGAATTAGTACTAAAATAATCACTATTATCTTTAGCCCCACGGTGGGCGCCAAACTTTTTACCTCGAAAATACGAGTAACAATTAAACTTGTTTATGATTTTAAAGATACGTGATTTAATTCAATACTAATTAATAACCAAGAAATCTGAAGTATAAATGATAGAAGTAAGTTGAATCAAACCAGTGTTTAAGCAAGTCTCAACCTCGAGCTTTGATGGCCTCGAGGTTGGTCAACAAGAACAGTAAAATAAAGATAAAGAAACTGAGAGACAATTCTGATAAAATATGAGCAATAAAGTAAGAGAGTATATTCATTGCCAATGATTGATGATGGTTACAAATGATTGGGGTCCCCTTTATATAATAGTGGAACCCTAAATAAGGTACATTTCTATTTATAGTAAAAAATCTAATTGGGACAGCTGTATAACCGCCTAGTACGGATTCGTACCAACCCGTACGAATCTATTTCAGAATTTACGCCATGCTTTTGGGGATATGGCGAGAATCTTGCTCTTTTTGTTACAAACCCATAATGGCACCACCTCGGGGTTGGTCATACTTGGCTTCGGTACTCATCGTGCACTTCGAACTTCGAGCCTTATGTTCTGCCCTCGAACTCGAACCCGCTCCGTACTGAGTCTATCCCTTGATGCGAACCCTCTGTTCCTCGATGTGAACCCTCGAGCCCACAAAATCGGGGACACATGATTTTACCGTATACAACTAGGGTTCTTAAAATTTTTCCATTAGGAATTCATACAGATTATATGAATTATTTTCCTATTTTCTCCCGAAAGCAGATCTTCTTTTAATATTACATTTTATTTTCATGTTTACTATGTTCAGGGCGAAACCAAAATCTTCACAAGCAGATTTGAGTATTAGCTAAAAATGGGTTTGGTGAACTAGGTTCATAGCAAACCAGTGGCAGAATGCTGATCGAACACGAAAGGCAAGAATTCTCATGCGAGTTGAAACTCCTAGAAGAACCAGATTCTAAAGATGAAGCTGCTCAGTTCTTTAGTTGTTAGGTTAAGTCAAGTATTCTGAATTATAACATATTTGCTTTTCAAGAAGTGTAATAGTTTCTTTAGTTGTTAGGTTGAGTCAAGTATTCTGAACTGTAACATATTTGCTTTTAAAGAAGTGTAATCGGTGAAACGTTGTTTTTGTAAGATTCATAGGCTAAAGTTAATTTGGGAAGGGGTTGCTACCATGGATTGATTATAGGGGTTAGCTAGGGTACTAGAGTTAGTCCCCCTTGTTATAGAGTTGTAATCTAAAACTGCTCTTTGAAGTTTACTGGAGATTCGAGGAAAATCCTATTGGGCAAGTCGTGATTTTTACTCCTTTGAGCAAGGAGGTTTTTCACGTAAAAACTCTGTGTTGATTACTTGTCCGCAATTATTTATGCTTGTGTCTGTTTGAATAGTTCAAAGAACCAGATTGTTTGAAAATGTAAAAATCAGGTAAGACACAATTCAACCCCCTTTTTGTGTCTAGGTGTAGTCTAAAATAACATGTTGGAAGAAGGAAGAATAGGGAAAGAAAGAAAGATAAAAAGATAAACAATAATTTAATTAGGTGAGTATTTTCACAGCACAACTAAGATTTGGGTATACCATTTTAAGGGTGAAATATTCACTTTAAATAGTTTAGGGGGATATAGGACATCTAGAAAGAATAAGTGTGTAACTGAAAATATTGGATAAGTTTAAGGGTGTTTTTATGCCTTTTCCAAATAAAGAACAAATATGTGTCGCTTCGAGTCCTTTTGTTACTTGCTTTCAATAACGACTGTTCCGGAGACTTGTCCGCTCAAACAGTCCTAGCTTATAACAACTATAACTCCCACGTTACTTAATTGTTTAATATAAGCATCTGATCTAGCAAAAAGATAGTCCTTGTTTTTTATATTTGCGAAATGAAACTCAAAGGATTTAATTTATGTAGGTATTAATAATTTATCAAAGTTTCTTTTCTGCATTGATGACAGTAGAAGGGGAACTGTTGCATCTGAATTCCCATTCACTTTATGCTTACAGGAAGTTATAGTGAGCAGACATCTGAAAAAACTCCCACTCGTTGTAATCTGAAAGGAAAGACAAACATCAACAATTTTGATGCACTACTGGTCTTGAGTCACCCACAAAAATGACAAACCACATGAATTCCATGTGTTTATGTAATTCAATGATATATAAAAAACATTGAAGAGTGTGGCCTATATAATTTTGCCCTAGCTCATTAAATTCGTACACTTTCATAGATGACATAAAAGACAATTTATGTAATATACCTTTTTAGTATGTAAAAAATATATTTTAAAAATAAAAATAATTTTATTTTAATCTTCTCATTTTATCCTTGGGATAGATCATCTATAATCACATAGACTTTAAAATATATATTTATTTGTTAAACTTTGAGACGGAGAAGTATGGAAATTGTGACTCATGGCGAGCGAGTTGATTCAAGGAGAGACGGTGGTATACTTTTTTTTTTTTTTTTTTCGTGTGGGTGCTTAGTAGATGTTTGGACAAAAGAATTGTGAAATTCCGAAAAAAGTAAGTCCCTCCGTTCCAGTTTATGTGAACCTATTTCCTTTTTGGTCCAAAAAGAATGGCTATTTCTAAATTTGGAAACAAGTTAGCTTAACTCTCAATTCTACCATTAGTGAGAAACTTTTATAACCACACAAATACTCTGGACCCCTTTTTAACTTGTTTAGGATCACAAATTCCAAAAGTCTTCATTTTTTCTTAAACTCCGTGCCCAATCAAACAGGTTCACATAAATTGCAAGAGGGAGTATATTTTTCAAGTGGATATTTGAAAATTAGAGTTGTGTTTGGACAGAACACAATTTGGAGCTATTTTGAATGTTTGTAAGTGATTTTAAGTGAAACTTTTGAAAAATAATTTTTTGGAGTTTTCCAAATTTTCGAAATTCAATTTTAAGTAAAATAAAAAATGTTCACGACCAAATGTTAATTCTGAAAAAAGTAAAAAAAATAATTGAAAAAAAGTAAAAACAAATTTATGGCCAAACGGGCCCTTACTTTTGTTTCATTCCAATTAGATCTATGTAGCCTAGCAATCACATGTTCAGATTCATTTGCCAGCACATAAAAGCTCAATCTCATTATTTGGACACCAAAAAAAAAAAAAAAAAAAAAAAACAAGAAGCTGGACGGAAAAGCAAGGGAAAGAAACGAAAACGAGCATCCCCACACGGCCACACACTCCAAAAATCAAGTCAGTTTTCTCTCTCTTTGTCCATCGCTATCATGAGTCATCTTCCCTTCTCCCACACGTTGATTATGTAAAAAGATTAGCCAAAAGTCATGTGGGACTGGTGGTGCTTCTTCTGCTTCTCTAATTTCAACCCCACCAAATACTATTACCCTGAGAACCAGAATTTGCTCCCACTTCAACATGATCAAAACCAAACCACCCCACCATCTCCACTTTCCTTTTCCACAATGATCCTCACCTCTTGCCTAAGTCGTCGCCGCTTCCGTCGCTACTTGTGCCTCCTTCTTTGCTCTCCTTTTCTTCTTCCTCTCTTCTGTGCTACTTTCCCCTTCATTTGTGCTGCCGAAATCTGCTACCGTCTATGTCATCGCCGCCGCCGCCGGCGATCAACGCCATGGGAAGAGGTTATAGATGGAAGTAGTCAAGGGAGTTTGTTGTTGCAGAGATATCTCGAAGATCAACTGCTTCTTGTGTATAATTGTGGATGTGGAAATGAAGATGAGCTGGAAGATGGGCTCGATGTGCAATTTATAGATAGTACAAGCCCTATATTGCAATAACGGAATAGATCGCAGAGATCTTTGATTTCTCTCTCTTTTCTTATTTTTTGCTTTGGGTTTTTTTGTATATAAAAGTTAACGTTGACAATTGTTATTCTTATCAAAAGAACGGCAAATAGAGTAGTTTTGGTGGTTTGTAATATTCGGCATTCTCAAGTCCGTTTGGAGGAAATGGCTTATTTTCATTATATATGTTAAATTCAATTAAATGGAAGATTTTGACTAATGCATTCTTTTAGACGGGGAGTAATCCAATTTGCTAAAAGTTGCAATTTTTGTCCCTTGAGAAAATATTTATTATGGTTCTCATCATATCGTATTTCACCTTTGGTTCATTAATTTGCGTACTATTCGCTAGGGGTGTTCGTCGATCGGTACAACACGTTATTTAGACATTTCGTTTTGGTATTTCCGGTATTTGGTTTCTTAAAATGCAATATCAATACTGTACCTAGTTAAATTTGGTATGGTTTGGTTTTTCTCCTTTCGGTTTCGGTTTCGATTTATTCGGTTTATTAGGTTTGAATACTAACTAGTGCATCGAGTCATAAAATATAATATTTTGAATTAAAGTACTCAAAAGTACAAAACTAAAAATAATTGTTGACAAAAGTTTTGTCCAAAACTATCAAATATCAACTTAGAGAGAGAAAACTGTACATAAAAGAATAAATTTGATCATTAATGTCTTGTTACTTAGAGTTAATTGATGAAATAAAGGAAAGTAAAATTATAGATTTTTATATTTATGTTATAATTAATAATATGTGTTCGTGTAATATACTATATATTTCGGTACGATATCGGTATTTCGGTATTTTATTTTAAAATACCAAATACCATACCTAATACCAATATTTTTTTAAACTTAAACCAAATACCATACCGAATATTAAAATACGAATACCAAAATTTTTAATTGTGGTACGATAATTTGATATTTGCCAAATTATGCACAACCCTACTATTCGCTCTCAAGTATAAACATTTCACGTGGATTGACTTTAACTTTTCAAAAACTAATTGACATTTAAAGACCCTGTGGCTCTCTCTCAATGAAAAAAAAAAAAAAAAAAAGAAACACTCCCCAAACAAAGGGGTCTATCAATTCAACCTAATTACGTATATTGTTTCTAAATGGGAAATTTACTTAGCTATAATGTTATATAAATTTATTTACCACTTTTCTTTAAATTTCTTAAAAGTTACATTCTCTATCTATATTTACTAGTTATATATAAAATCTTATTCCTTCCGTTTCAATTTATGTGAATATGTTTGACAGAATTTGTGATCCTAAACAAGTCAAAAAAGGGTCAGAGTATTTGTGCGGTTATAAAAGTTCTCATTAAGGGTAATATTGAAAGTTTAAACTAAATTGTTTTAAATATTAGAAAGGGGTCATTCTTCTTGGAACGGACCAAAAAGGAAATAGGTTCACATAAACTGGAACGGAGGGAGTAATAAAGAGAGTGTCCCTTAAAATTAGATTGTAACTGATATAGCCCCCTCCCCCTCTGGCGTCGCCCCATTCTCCTCCCCTTCTCACTCTCATGTATATCAATTATACAAAGCCCCCAAATCACATTTCCATCCCGTTTTCAAAAATATGTCAAAATATTTCTTTCTCTTTCATACAAATCAACCCAAAACTTTCCCTCGTCACAAATTCATCAACATTATCTCTAAAATTGTAGCAACAAAGTGTTCTCATTGACAACCATTAAAAAGATTCAAAGCTTTGAATCCAATATTTAGGTTTTATGAATTTGTGATTTGTATGGATTAAGTGTTCTTGCAAATGAATGCGAATATACTTGGAGTTTATATCTCATTTTTGTGAGATATTAGTTAAATTTAAAGTTGGTTTTACGTAACTTCATATTAAAACTCGAAGAAGAAAAAGTTTTAAAATTGTATCACGATTATATGATAATTGTACCGCAACTGTATCAATAATCGGGTTTTACAAATTTGTGATATGTTTGGATTGGTGTTCTTGCAAATGATTGAGAATATACTTTGGAGTTTATATCTCAATTTGAGGAAGATTGGTTAAGTCTAAAATTGATTGTAGGTAAAATTTTAGATTGAAACTCGAATAAGAAGAAAAAGTTTCAGAACTGTATCATGATTGTATAATAATTATATGATAATTGTATCTTAATTCTTTCAGGACTATAACATAACTATATGATAATTATATCTGAATTGTATCAGATGCATCAATACATGCATGAAATAATATCTGATATAATACTATTACAAGCATAATAAAAAATTTCTATTAAAATCGTATTAGTTTTTTTACTGTTTTGAATGTTTTTTGTATGTGATGTGTTCTTCTTCTTTGATTTTCAATCTGAAAATAAAAGCTAAGATTATTGGTGATTTTGTGCTAGTTATGGAGTTTGTTGCTGGTTTTAGGTGGAATTTCATATTAAAATTTGAAGAGGAAGAAGTTCGAAATTGTATCACAATTGTATCAGAATTATTTTCAAATTGTATCATAAGTGTATGATAATTGTATATGATACATTAATATGTCAAACAACCTGATATAGTACTAATATAAGTATAATAGTAGAAATGACACTAGATAGCTACTCTAAAGGACTGCTATTTAGGAATTAACCAGTTCATCCTGAATATATATTTTTCAGTTTAATTTTCTAGGACAAAAAATGTCCTAAGTTAAAATTTTTAGCTTAAAATTTCTGGACAAAATACTTAATCTCTAAATAACGTCCTTGAGAACGAAGAACGGCTACCTGTTGCGATTGCCACATTATAATACAATATTATATCATAATTCTATAAGAAATTTATAAGAGTTGTTTCAGAATTGTATTAAAATTGCCTCAAAATTATATTTGAATTTAATTTGATACATCGATACCTGAAAATATTACATGATAAAACTGCTAAATCGCAGGTTCGTTCATTTGTGAAACATATATTAAGTATATAGAGATTATTGGATTTTTTATTCATAACTCCATTAGACTGAAGACTATTGAGCCTACTCAATGAGATGAGGAAAGAAAGAAAAAAGAAGGAGAAAGACGAAAGCTTGGCAAATTCGGGCTACCATTCAACCCTCAACGGCAGTCAAAGGTCACTACAATTTGCGTAGAAGAAGAGGTAGAGAGGAGTGGAGAGGAAAAAAAAAGGAAAGGATATAATTGAAGGTATTAATAATGGGGTGATAATCTTTTAAGGGGGAATATATGCAATAAGCAAAAAGAATTAGATACTGAAAATTACAAAACCTACAGAAAATGGGTAAATAAGTTCCTATTATAGCATGTCCCATTCTAAATGGGGCAACAAGAGGTAGAATGTTGGGCTGTCCCAAAAAGAGAGGCCCTAATGGGCCGTCATCTGGCCTGCTCTGTCCAAGCACAGAGGTTGATCAAGTGAACCTATCAAAGGATGGGCTGCTTGGCCCTAAACTGGTGTGGACTGCGTGAGTTTGGATTCATAGAGCAACAAACAACTTTCACTCTGTGCAATGGAAGGATAACAGATGGGAAACTTACATAAATGTCCCAAATAAATCTCAACTTACCAACCTCTAGCCATTAATCATAGACTTACCAAAACTAGCCAACAAAAATTGAAAAACCAAATAATAGGGTTCTTTCTCTTAAATAATCACATGCAAAACTCACCTTTCATATTTTTAAGCGTGATTAGCAACACTAGATACAAGACGGAAAGGAAATTTTATGGATAAGATAGCAAATAAGGTGATGAAATACAAAAAATATATACAATATTCCAAAAATCTAAACAAAAAAGGAACTTTTTCAATGGGTATAGTTGAAATTCATTGAAAACATATAGGTAAGTCAATATACAATTTTTGAGGAAGATTGGAGGTGATTTGGACTGGTTTTGTATCAAAATCGTAATTAAATCGAGTTCAAAAAAGTCTTCTGCGACACATGTATCGAACATGTATCACGCATGTATCTCACACACAGGTATACATGGATATACATGTGATACACAATAGATACAATATGATACATATGTGATACACAAATGATACACAGTGTGATACACATATCATTTTTTTCGTGTTCAGTTTTTACCGAATTTTCAATTCAAACCACCTCAAAACTTCACCAAATCATCCCAAAACTGAGATTCAAGCTCCTTAAGTTGTGCCCAATCTATTCTAATAACATCCACTCAAAACAAAGCAAAAATTTGATATTTTTTTGCTACAAATAGCTAATTGGCTAATTTGACTAATATTAGTAATATTTTATCAATTGGCCGATTTTTGTAATGAGCTACCTATAAATGGACATAGCTGGTAATTTCCCTAACAGATTGGCATCATCCAGGCCCAACAAATGCATAAAGAGTTGCTCCAATTAAATCATCACTTTTTCCAAAAAAAGGAAAAGAAGATTAGTTTCTATATAAACTATAGTCCTGCTTATCCAAACTAGTTATGTGATAGGGCTTCTGAAAAAGAAATACTATCTTATATTTTACAGTCAGCTTGAAGTAGTTGGCCGCAATGAGTTGCAGATACCACGCGAACTGTTAACATCTCGCTTCAGAAGCGGATCCAGAATTTCAAGAGGATGAGTGCACTATTGTGAAGAGGTGAATCTAGAAATATATTTGACTGGTTAAACTTTAGTATCTTATCATGATCCACTACACTTTTAAAATTATAGGTTCAAAATTATAATCTTTTTGAAAATTTAGTAATTTTCACATATATACCTATACTCCGTGCAAGAAACAAGACCATTTAGAGTGATATTTGAACTGCCAATTTCACTTGTAGAGGTGCACCCAATAATAACTGCACCATAATAGTCTTTGAGCATGGGTTAGGCGCGGCCCGACGAATTTTGTGGCCTAAAGCCAAATTTTACGAGGGGCCTTAATTTTTTTTTTAAAAAAACTTTTTTATTTGAAGTCTATTTTCTAACTTTTTTTAGATGTAAAGTTATTAATAATTTTCTTATAATCAGTTTCTCCTAATAAGTCTTTCTCAATTGACAATACAACTAATCCATTTAACCTCTCCTGAAACATTGTTGATCTTAGGTAACAGGAGATATTAACATTCAATAAGCAATATAGGTATTTGGAAAAAAAAAAAACTCTTTTTATTTGATTGAGTATATCAATTAAACTGTTATTTTCTAATTGTACTATTTTTTTAATACTTGTAATTCAGAAAATATAAATCTGTCACAACCCGGT